AAGCATATATCTGTGAAAGTAACCATTCATGATTATTTCATAGATGTGTTTTCCATGCTGAAGAATTTTATGAAATGAGGTACAATTATCTACTTTTTCACAAATGAACTACAGAAAAATGCCATTTAATAAAGAATTGAATAAATCATAGAATCATAGAATGTGCTGAGTTGGAAGGGACCCATAAGGATCATCAAGTCCAGCTCCCTGCTGCTCACAGAACTAAACCATAAAACTAAACTATATGATTAAGAGCATCATCCAGATGCTCCCTCAACTCTGACAGACTTGGTGCCATGATCACTTCTCTGGGGAGCCTGTTCCAGTGACTGACCACCCTCTCAGTGAAGAACCTTTTCCTAATGTGCAGTCCGAACTTCCCTGACGCATCTTCCTTCCATTTCCTCATGTCCTACCGCCACTCATCAGAGGAGATCAGCAGCTCCTCCTCTGTTGCCCCCTCCATGAGGAAGGTGTAGGCTGTGATGAGCTTGCCGCTCAGCCTTCTCTTCTCCAAGCCGAGCAAACCAAGTGACCTGAGCTGCTCCTAAGTCTTGCCCTCGAGGCCTTTCAGCATCTTGCTCCCCTGCCTCTGGACACTCTGGACTCCTCTAATAGTTTGACGTCCTTCTTATACTGAGGCACCCGAAACTGCCCACGGCACTCGACATGGGGCCACACCAGTGCAGAGTAGAGAGAGACAATCCCTTCCCTCAGCTGGCCGGGGATGTTGAGCTTGATGCACCCCAGGACATGGCTGGCCCTTTTGGCTGCCAGGGCACACTGCTGGCTCATATTCAACTTGCCATCAACCCAGACCCCCAGATCTTGCTCCATGGGGCTGCTGTTGCTAGTGATAAAGAGGTAAGGAAATGGCTATGAATAACAGACCAAGGAGAAACTTTATTGCTATGGATTTTGTACTTGATGTCATAGCTATGTTTTTTATCAGTTATGTTACAACAGTAATGTAGTAAAATAATCTTTCAAATGAGAACCTTTCAGTATAAACTAAAGTTGAATAGCCAATCGTGATGATTTAAATTCAGATTCTAAATTAACTTTGAAAGGTTATTTGGGTTTTAAAAGATATTTTTGTTATTATGCAATAAACATTTTTCACTTGCATAAATATTTTATTAACTTTTGTATGAAAAAGGCATGTAAAATACACAACATTGCACTCTGGACGGCATTTGTGCAGGAATGAAAGTAAAGTCCAGTAAAAATGTTTGAATGTTCAAAAGATATCTAAAGGAATTTAAATGAGGAAGTTTTCTAAGACACTATTTCTGTTCTTACCCTGTCCTCGGATATCTGCTCAGCAAGGTTTGCATCTTGCTTGTAGCAAGATCTCATTTGTGCAAAACACAGCTTACCAAAATAGTCAACTTGTTATTTTTGGTGAAACAACTTTTTCTAGTTTGAAGAAAAATGCAAGATTTTTCATTGACTGCCATGGTTCCTCAGTGATTCTTTTGATTTTTACATGCATTAACTTGATGGATATGTTTATCTGTTTTATCTACGGTGCACATCTATACAGTATAGAAGTTTTTTGATAAGTGGTGCCAGTCATATGTGTTTGCATGTATACTTTATATAAGATGCATATTCTCTAAATTCAGAGCACTTAATTCCTGACTACTGAGAGATCCAAATGTTTGTAGCTTTATACTTCAAGTAGTCATTTATGCTGATACGAACAGCACTTTGTGCAGTCACAACTTGAAAATAACCACGAGTGTTTGCAATTAATTACTTGCACATTTTAAAATGCAATTTGTTAATCACTTAGAGTTTGAATTCATGAAGCTTGAGGCGCTATCTGTTATTGAATTACTCCAAGCACAATGAGCACTATTCTAGCTCTCTCAAAAGCCTAATACAGGGAAGGCCATGGCCAAGCAAGATGATCAGACCCACGAGGCCAGCTACCTCTGGGGCCAGCCAGTGAAACACAGCTTATGTCCGGACAGATTATGTCTCCCACTCTCGGAGTGGTGTGGCCACGTTCTGCCTGCCTGTACTCACTCTTAGGCAATTACGTATTAGCATTCAACAGTCTGGTTGCCTTAGCCTGGGTGCCACCTATGAAGTCAGTCCCCAAACCACAGGCTCCTGGAATGTGGGAAATACATCAGAGGAAAGATTGTTCTGTGCAGCTGCTTTTGTCGTGGGCTTTCCCTAACACATCCACATCTGTCAGAGAGAAGATAATGACTCTGGTCTGAGTGAGTTTCTGTGATCTGACCTGACTAACGTTCCTTTTCCATTTCTAAGCTAACTTGGTTTCTTTCAAACCTCTTAGAAATGGTGTTACGAATAGATTAAAAAGCTGTGCATCGCTCTGGGCAGATGTCTGTAGTAGCCTGGGTTCCTTTGGATTTCGTTGATAATACACAGCGTATAAATTTAGATTTTTGCATGTGATTGCCAGAAATAATCAACTACATAAGCCTTCTTTGTCAGCTGTAAAATTCAGAGCTTTAGAGCTCAAAGCTTATTCAAGGGCTATGCAGCAAAAACACTGAGCGGCACTGTAATTACCATGAGCATGTTACTTAATGTCAGTATAAACACAGTGGGAGATGGTGTCATTGAGAATGCTGTCATAACACAATTTAACAGCAAGCGGCTAGTACCAAAGACTTATGGCTGGCTTAGGATTTTGCACATCTTGCTGGTTACCCTGGATGGGAAAAACCTGGTTTCTGGCTTTCGAGGATACAGGTAGAACCTGTATGCTTTATTAACTTCCACTCATACTCTTACATTTCGATTAAAAAAAAAAAAAGCCCACATAATTATGACCAAATATGAACAAGTAGAAAGCTTGAAAAAAAAGAGACGGTGGAAATCATCAGGTTATGGGTTTTGATGGTTTATTCAAGCTCTGATACTGATGATGACTGGAGTGGAAATCAGTAAATCAGTGTTAGTTTCTGTACTGAAGTCTTGGCACAGGATGTATCTTAATTTTTCTCTGCTGAGTTAGATGATGATCTGAAACGAAGCACTTAAAAGCTATACAGTTAAAAAAAAAAGGAAATAAGGTCATTCTAGATATTATTATTTTGTAACAAACCTTGATTCTCCTTTCTGATTTATTACAGTTTTACAATTATTTTTAGTTTTTGTAATCTTTGCCTGTATTATACACCAAGAATTTCAGCTCTGATCCTCAGCTTTATCCATGAGTTCTGTAATTTTCACTTCCTTCCCCCTTTCATCCCTCAGAGGGACAATGGCCCTTTCAATATGCGCTGTATAAAAAGCCAGGAATTGAGAGGAATCACAGAAATGGCCTGATTTCACCAACAAAAAGAAATCTTTTAGGAGCGTAGATCTATTCCACCCCCAAATCTCCTTCATTTGAAGAAGTAGAACACATAAATATCAGGGTCCAGAAAGTAAGATATGAAATTTGTTGAAAACCTACCCTCCTCTGCAAAATTTCGTGCCAAGAAATCCTGAAACTCAAAAAGGCTTTGGCAGCTGAGGTCGTGCTACATTTTTTTATATGAAAATTTTCTTTGCGTATAAAATAGTAAAGATAACTACCTGTTCAAGTCTATCAGCAGCTTCTCCTCCTCTTTTTAGTAAAATTAATGATCCATCCAATACTTAAATGTTAAAGAAGTTACTCTGTTTCTGCCTTTCTCCCAGTTCTTCCTTTTATTTCAGTCCCTTATTAGCTATTTCTCCTAAGAGTCTCCTTTTTTTAATGTCCAGCTACACTATTCTTCTTCCTTTGATTCAAATGAATCCTTTTTCCTTCAGATCTTCCCTTAAAACTCTCTTCACTGACAGGCTTTCAACTGTGATGGAGAAGAGCAGCTCTATGCCAACTCTCTGTTGTCTTAATTAGCTATTCTGTTATTATCCTAATTAGACTGTAAGTTCCTTATGTCATGCACCTTGCCAAGCTATTTGTTTTTAAATCTCCACATGCACTTATAGTATGCAAATAATACCTAATGATAATAGCAGTAAGTAAAGATGATAAAATGGATAAAAATGTTTCTCTTCTGATCATTCACCTATGCAGAAATATTTTAATTACTATTGCTGTAGCTTTCATGGCCACATTACAACACACCAAAAGCCACTTGATGAATTTTTAATTTTTTATGCCAATGAATTGTATGGATGACGTGTTTTGTTGTTTGTTTTTTTTTTTAATTACATGTTTTAATACACAATACTACTAATAATCAGCATATCTTTAAAGCTTTCAGTGAAATCTTATGGGACAAGGAAGAGTACAAGAAGCTTGCTTAGCCCTTTGGCGGCATATTAAACAATATTTCAGGCTTAGCAGGAAATTCCTATGCTCTGTCTTATTTGAAATTTGATTACTAATGATTAAAAAATACGTGTTATTAACTGATGATGTGTGAACCTTGGAAGGTCCATGTGGCAACAAAACCTTATGAAGTTATTTACTATCTCTAAGCATCCTTATTCAAAACAAAAAACTTGAAAATGACTAGTATGATTTTATTATTGCTTCCTAGTTTAGGACAGCATTTAAATCTATAGTATTTTTTTCTACAGTTTTTTTATTGTTAAAAGGAATGAGGGAGATCTTGCAATTGTTCAGTATTTTAAAATTTATATCACAGAGGGGCTAAATGTATTTCCGTGATTTTCTGCCTAATTTTTTCGTAGGCTGCTTCTGTGGACACATTCATGGAATGAATGTACAGGTTCTCCAGATCAGCTTGAACTGTCTCTTATAGTTGTTTGTCCTGGCACTAGTGTGTCACCAACAAGGAGGAGAAGTCAAAGAACCCAAACCAAAAATATCTGCAGCTTAAAGCCCAGAAAATGTTCTGTTGTGTTCAGCTGGATAGTATTTTGTTTCTCAGCGTGCGTAGATTTCTGGGTATTCTATGTGCAGAAGGGAAGACCTGGGCTTGCTATGGCAGAACCAAGGATGCTGCTGCAATTGTTTAAAGTGCGGGTCCACTAATAATTGATATTCCGTTCATCAGCTGAAGGAGCTTGTGGAGGAACGCTACGTGGGACAAGCGGAACTATTGCAAGTCCTCACTTCCCTTCCGAGTATGAAAATAATGCTGATTGCACCTGGACCATATTGGCTGAACCAGGAGATACCATTGCTTTGGTCTTCACTGACTTCCAGTTAGAGGAAGGATACGACTTCTTAGAGATCAGTGGAACAGAAGCACCATCAATATGGTAAGTCAGAGATCTTGTAAAGATAACAGTTTCTGGTTTTCTTTGTTAGTGAGTGTTTTGAAAAGATGTTAAATGATATTTAAGATATTTTCTACCTTTTATTTGTTACGTGTTTATCTTTGGTCCCTTTCACCCTCCAAAACTGAAAAAAAAATAGTTTGCTTCTGTTTCTTTCCCAGTCTTGGTCCTTGCTCTTATTTTCCTCTGTCTTTGAGAGTTAGATTTCTAAGGTGTCTTAGCAGTGAGCATTTATTGCTGTTACATATTTGAACTTGCATGTGAGAGCATTTTCTGATGAAATGGCTTTTCATGATACTGTACTCCAACAAGGAAAGCAGTGCGCAAAATTCAGCCTCACAGTAAAATGGGAGTATATAGAGAGCAAATAGATTCCATCTTATCCTAAACAGGCTATAATTCAGTCTTACTATGTGTACTCATGTATGCATGTATTATTATCTTGGTATTATCAGTATGTTGGTTGATGTTAAAACTATTTGCTTAGCAATATGAAGGCTTAGTAATTATAATACTAAATCTACATTTTTGTACTCCGTAGAAGATGATAGTTCTGTCTATAGGAACGGATTAAATTGCAGAAAGGTTTGTGTTAGGATTCCCTGCATGCTATATATGCAAATTTTAATTTTTTTTCATCTCTGAGAATCTCTTGTGCTTGACATATGCACCATTGCTATAAAATGTAGCCTAGAAAAAAATACAGAACTGCTGCTCACAGATGACTGATGGTTATTATATTCAGAATGCCTTTCTGGAGATCTGAAGAAATCTCACTATGATTTTAATGTCATGACAGGCTCGGCAGTGCAATATATTAATAATTGTGAAGTTCTAGGTAGCATCTGATCTGCTGAAAAACTCTATCAAATAAAAATGTGTGGCAACCATGCTTGACAAATACATAAAAACTTTGTACTTCTGGATCTATATCACAAGGTTCTCTCTGACATTTCCAGACAACCGAAAGTTGTGTAACAGCAGTCAAGGAAGCAGCTTTCTATCAAATTAAGTGCTTGTGTCTGACCGTGTGAAATAAAATATGTGAGTACCCTGTTTGCCTCTGTGCCCGTTTGCACAGACATACATGACGATCATCAGTGCCAATGTTTTCTTACTAAGAGTTCTGAGGTCCAGAACCTGAAATCTTGAAGGGGAAGAGCTAATGGAGTCTTGTTGCAGAATATAAAAAGCTGTCCGTTTAATTGTGTGTATGAGGCTCTAGTAGACACCAAAAATTTTTAAATAAAATAAAAAAAAAAATTTAAACAAAAATATTTACCACTTTGTTGAAAGAAATTAATCTGTTATTGAACGTGAACATTCACATATATATATATCTGCTTCGCAGAAGATTCCTGATAATAGATGATGTAAAGGAGTATGAGCAGAATGCAATGGAAAAATATGCTGCATTGATCTCATATGGTACTGATCAATATTACGTTGGAAATCGGAGATATCATAAGAATATTCAGTCTAAACATTTTTCTCATTTTGCCTGATTCTCGTTTTTAGGTTGGAGATTTTTTTTTTACAATGCAAAACTCTGATCACTCAAAGCTAAGGATTTATTGTATGTTCCTAGGATCACTGATGGAAGTTTGGAGAACCTATTGGAAATTTTATAAGGAATGTTTAAAGGATTATTGGATACTTTGGAATGAAGCTAGACATTCAGCTATAGTTAAGCCAGAACAGTTACCATAGTGACATTAGAGCCATGCTAAATGTAGTGCATGCTGTAATTTGCTAAAATCAGCTGTGTGAAGTTGTTTCATGCTTAAAACTAATGATCTAGAGGTGTATCATCTTAAACGTGATTTTTTTTTAATTGTTCCCTTTTATTTTATCTGGCATCATGTCAACAGCTTTACATATAAATATTATTTATAAATCTGTGGTAGAAGACACGTATTCCATTAGCATGGTCTGGTAATTATGATTATTTTTTCATGTAAAGGAATATTTGCTGTAAAATCAGCCAAATAGTTTCCTAGTAAAGAGTATAGAAAGACAAATATACGAGCACTGCAAAAGCTAGAAGGAGAGTAAGAATTAAGAAAAATAACTTCAGACTGATGATTCTTTAGTGATTTTAGTGTGTGGTGCAATAGGTCTGAATTACCCTCTTCAAACATATCAACAAGGTTAGAAGCAGTTTCAGCGTGGTCACAGTAAAAAGTGGATGGACTTTTTATAAGCAAAGCAATGGAAATGCTAGAACAAGTAGAATCTAAATGCAGAGGAAAAAAAAATCTCATGTATCTATAAAATATGCATATAAGAGATATTATAGTAATTATATTGATTATACTACGTGACTTTTATTATATAATCAAAATATTAATTGTATTAGAACATATGTGTCACATGTTTCTAAGCCTGCTCTAAAATGTTCAGTTAATTTCCATGTTATGCAGCTGATCACAGAATCACAGAATGGTAGGGGTTGGAAGGGACCTCTGTGGGTCATCTAGTCCAACCCTCCTGCCGAAGCAGGATCACCTACAGCAAGCTGCACAGGACCTTGTCCAGGCGGGTCTTGAATATCTCCAGAGAAGGAGACTCCACAACCTCCCTGGGCAGCCTG